GAGGAGGAGGAGGAGGAGGAGGAGGAGGAGGAGTAGGCGGAGGAGGGAGGAGGAGGAGGAGAGGAGGCGGAGGAAGGATGCGGAGGAGGAGGAGGAGGAGGAGAGGAGGAGGAGGAGGCGTGATGAGGATGAGGAGGAGGAGGAGGAGGAGGAGGAAGTGGAGGAGGAGGAGGAGGAGGAGGAGAGGGAAGAGGAGGAGGAGGAGGAGGAGGAGGAGGAGGAGGAGGAGGAGGAGGAGGAGGAGGAGGAGGGAGGAAGAGGAGGAGGAGGAGGAGGAGGAAGAGGAGGAGGAGGAGGAGGAGGAGAAGGAAGAGGAGGAGAGGAAGAGGAAGAGGAAGAGGAAGAGGAAGAGGAGGAGGAGATGATGAGGAGGAGGAGGAGGAGGAGGAGGGAAGGAGGAGGAGGAGGAGGAGGATGGGGAGGAGGAGGAGGAGCGGAGGAAGAGGAGGGAAAACTGGATGCCTCTTGAGGCCTTCTTGGGGCCGCTTGGGGGCTTCTGGGTGCCTCTTGAGGGGGCTCCAGCGGGCCTCTTGAAGGCCTCCTGGGGCCTCTTGGGGGTCTTTTGCTGCCTCTTGCCTCTATGGCCTCTTGGGGGCCTCTTCGAGCCTCTTTGGTGTTTCTTGGGCACCTGCTGGCGGTCTCGGGGGTCCTCTTCGGGCGGAGGGCTCGGAGTGCCAGTTCAAATTGCCTCTTTCGGGCCCCTCTTGGGGCCCTGTTGGGATTCTCTTGGGCCATCTCGGGCGCCTCTTGGGCCGTCTTGGGACCCACTTCGGGTGTCTTGGGGCCCTCTTGGGGGCTTCCTGGGCCGTCCTGGAGCGACCATGGGGACCTTCCGAGCCGTCTTCGATGCTGTTGAGACCACACACGCGAACATGTTCAAATTGCACGTTTTTCCAATGGATTTGGACGAGTCTTGGTTGTTGGGGCCCTCCAGGGGGTCGTCTTGGAGCCCTCCCGTGGCGTCTTTGTGGCCTCTTGGGCAGTCTGAGGTCATCTTGGTCGTCTTCCAGGACCCCTGTGCGTATTGGAACCCTGGTTGAGCAAGCGTCGATCGATTCTTAGGAATCTTGGAGGCCACCACGGGCTCGGTTCTCTTGATATGTGTTTGGCTTCTTTGGACCAGGGTTCGCCTTGCTTCGGATCCCTGGGTTTCCTCGTATCCGGGCCCAGCCCCTCTCAGATCCTCTGTGGATCTGGTTTCTGGTGAGCGCTCGGCGTCTTTCGGATCCCTGAGGTTTCTCTCGGCCAGGTCTTGAGTTCCTGTGGATCCTTCTGCTTGCCTTGGACCTGGGACTGTATCCCGTCCGGTCCCTTCGGCTTTCTTGCCATGGCTCGGCTCCTTCGGCTCCCTTCTCTCGGGTCTTGGGGTTTCTCTGGCCAGGGCTCGGGCTCCGTCGATCTCCTCTATTTCGTTGGACCAAGGCCCGGGCCCCTCGGATCTCTGGGGTTTCTTGGCTCGGCTCCCCTCGAATCCATGGGGCTTCCTTGGGCCTTGGCTCGGCCCCACGCGGATCCCGTGGTCTTCCCGATTCCGCGTGGGGGACTCTGACGGGGGGCTCCTTCAGGGATCCTTTCCCAGCCAGCTCCTTGTTCGGACGGGGTTCCCTGCTGGAGATGTTGAAGACGTGGGATTTGCCAGGCTCTCTATTGTAGCTGGAGCCCTGTCTGGGCGTTGGCGCCGGCAAGTGTGACACCGCCTGCAAGGTTACCCTTTGGATGTCCCGGTGCTGGAACTTCATGCTTTGAGTGATTGAGCGCGGGGGAGTCCAAGCCAGCTCCATTGCATTGATCATGGTTTATGAGGATGCTCAAACATTATTCTTGCTACATCGCTACACCGCAGTGAATTCTCAGTGTGAGTGGGTCTTTGCGTGAGTGAGTGTGATTGTGCGATTTTTGTGATTGGATTTGAATATGATCGAGCTGAGTGCGGGAGTATGAATATGAGTGGGCACGAATGTTAGTGGTGTGAGTATGAACGAGTTTGAGCGGTGCGAGTAAGTGAGTGTGAATGAGTGTGGGTGTGAGTGCGAGTGTGAGCACGAGTGAGTGTGAGCGTGAGAGGGCATAATCGTGAATGGTGAGCTATGGGTGTGGGTAAGCCTGAGTGCGAGTGAACCAGGGCGTATGAGTTCGAGCACACCCAGGGCGCGAGCGGGTGGGTGTGACACCGCCTGGCAGCTCCCCTTTTCTTGGGGTGCTAAGACAAGGGCTTCGCTGGATGCGTCCTCACAGTCTGCTCCGAAAGGAGAGGAGCTGGAACTGCCGAACAAGAGCCTCGTGCTAGACTTAAGTCGGGCCTGCCCCTCTACAGGAGGAATCTTCAAAACTTGTCCCAAAATAGTCTGGGGACTTTTGTGTTAAAACATTTTTGGTAATATATATATATATACACATCTAATTCTTTGTATATATATGTGTGTAAAGCCAAATATGTATACTATTAGCTATAGATGCGTCCAAAATCCGCCTGGAGGAGGACATGCCCGACCTCATGCCAGACATTCGCAAGACATCTTGGCGCGCCCCGGGCGAGCGCAAGGGCCGGTGTGGCGGCGTGCGAGGGCCCCCGGCGGCACCCCCTTGGGGTGCCACAGCGAGCGTCTCGCTCGAGACATCCTCCACATCTGCTCTGAAAGATCGTTTTCTTGTGCATTCTTTTGCCGATTGGCGCGGGCCCTCTCCCCCCCCCCGTGGGGCAGATCTGGGCGGCTGTTTTTTGGCGCCTGTTTCGAGCAGGTGGAGCCTCCCCATCGTAGGACGCACTGCGCCCAACCGCCGCACTAAGCAGAGGTTTAAAGCCAGACCCCCCCTCACCCCCCCCCCTTCCGCCCAATGTCGCAACGCCGAATAAGAAGACGCTCACCTTGATGCATCCTCCACGTCTGCTCTGAAAGGGGAGTCCTCCTCCTCCTCCTCCTCCTCCGCCTCCTCCGCCTCCTCCTCCTTTTCCTCCTCCGCTAAGCGAACGCCTCGCTTGATGCATCCCCACAATCTGGGGTGATAGGGGTGGGTGAAAAAACCCCTGGCGGCTCTCACCCTTTGGGGTGCTCCGGTGCTTCGCGCCCTCCATCGCACCGTGGGGTCTCAGTGTGAGCGAGCTCGAGTCGGGCTGAGTTTTGAGCGTGTGAATCTAAGGGTGAGCGAATTGGAGCACGCGAAAATTTGGTGCGATTGAGTCTGAGAAGGAGCGGGTATGAGCATGGATGGGTATGAGTGCGAGTAGTTGAGAGTGTGAGTCGCGTGAGTGAGGAGAGGGAGGAGGGAGCCATGCTCAGAAACTGGGGAACGAGAGCCACATCATGAGGATCGGTGGCACAACGCACATGACATCATGTACCAAGAAACTGTTTTCCAGCAGTGGCTTGCAGCATCATTCATGCAATCCTTTATTGCTATGATCTCGCGCAACACATGTGGAACAACCATTCGGTATTTGGACCGTGACGTCGCGATTGGCCTGAGTGGCACGTCCGATTTTCAATTTGTGAGTGCATCGCAAGCGAAACGGCCAACGAAGGAGGGACGTGGACGTCACTGACCGCCTTCCGAGCTATACTCTCTTTCGGATCGGTGCGCATGACATTACCAACATTTACTATGTATGTGTGTGTATATATATAGATGTATGCTTATTTGTAATATATATATATATATATGTATACATATATATATATATATACACATACATAGATACAAATGGGGAGGGGGTCCTGGGGGCCCCCGAGTGCACCGATTCCTCTTCTGACCGTCTCGGGCATGGTGGGGGGCGCCAGAAACCGTCAAAGGGGCCGAACAGGGGCGACTGGAGGGGCCGAGAGACGTCCAAGAGGGCGCCAAGATGGCCCAAGAGCGCTCCAAGAGAGCCCAAGACCGTACAAGAGCGTTTCAAAATTGGTCTAACATGGCTTGAAGACAGCCCAAGAGGGCTTCAGGTCGGCCAAGATGCCCTCAAAAGGACTCCCACGAGGCCCTCAGGAGGCAGAACAAGTCGGATTCTTTCGGTGGTTTTGTGAAGGTTTTTCGTGTTCTCGCTGTTTCGTGCCTCCGACAGTCCAAGGCAGCCCACGAGGCCCCAGACATCAGCTCAAGACGGCCCAAGAGGCACCCAAAGAGGGCGCCAAGACGGTGCAAGAGAGTCCCAAAACGGCCCAAGAGGCGCCCCAAGGCGGCCCGAGAGGCGCCCAGGGTCGCCCAAGAGGGTCCCAAGAGGGCCCCAAGACGGCCCCGGGAGGGGTCCAAAGAGGGGGAACACGAGCGGACAATTCGAGAGGCCCCCAGGAGGCCCCAAGAGGCCCCCAGCAGAGCCCCAGAGGCCCCCCCAGCGGCGCCCTGGAGGCTCCATGAGTCCCCAGATAGGCCCCAAAAAGAGGCCCCAGGAGTACCCCAAACGGCCCCCAAGAGGCCTCCAAAACTGCCTTCAGGAGGCTTCCAAAACTGTCTCCAAGACATGGCATAGCATTGCATTGCATTGTACAGCCTGGCATGCCGTGTCTGTGCATACCATGTAACGCAGTAGCATCGCTCTCCAGAGGAAACATAGCGTGATATGGCTCAGCGTATCATCCCATATCTTATCATAGCATTTCCCAGCACAGCATGGCATGACATGCAATGCACACTGTAGAGTGCTCCATGTTATTGCATTGCGTACTGCATCGTGACATTGCGATTCATAGCATAGCGTGATGTATCATGGCGTTCTATAGCATAGTGCAACATGGCGCTGTAGCGCTGCATTTTTCCTGGCCCATAGCTTGGCGACAGATCACCGGTGGACTGGTCGGTGGGAGCGGAGGAGGAGGAGGAGGAATGAGGAAGAGGCAGGAGGAAACATATAATTTCGACAACATTATTCATGATCGCCTGGTTGCTTCCAATACGGTCAGCACTCGAGCAGCTAGAACCTAAGCGCGCGCGAAGCGCGCGTGGTTCTAGTGTATATATATATATATATATATTCGTTTGTATATACAAAGAGAAGAGAGAAAGAGAGAGAGAGAGAGAGAGGAAGAGAGAGAGAGAAAGAGAGAGAGAGCGCACGGTGTAGAGGGCAACGCTGCCAAAGAGTAATCACGGATTTTTGCTCAAGAGCAGGCCAGTTATTTCCCTCTCGCACTTGGCAGCGGCCCGCCGCCGCCGACCCCATGCAGCGCCCATGGCTTGCCAAGGGGTCGCGCAGAGCAGCACAGAGGCGGCCCCGGCGACGGCGCATGGCGTCGAGGCAGGCCCCCGCCGGTGGCCCGACAGGGCAGAGCCGCAGACGGAGAGGCGGCGATTGGTTGCGCGGGTGCCCGAGGATGCGGTGCCGGGAGAGACGAAGCTGCGCATCCGCGTCGGCCCGGAGGAGAGTTTGGTGGCCAGGGTGCCCGCAAGCGCGTGCCCGGGGGCGGACGGCCTGGCGTTCATGCGGGACGGCTCGGGCAGCTGGTGCGCGGAGCTCGTGCCCGGGCAGGTCCTGCAGGCGTCCTCGCTCGTCGCCGACCCCTCGCCTGGCAAGATCTGCACCAGTGTGACTCTTACGCACGTCGCACTGGATCCTGATCAGGGCTTTCAGGAGCTGCGGGAGGCAGCCGTGGCGGCCGGAGCCGTGGTCAGCCCGAAGATCCGCCGCAGCTCCGTGGAGGGCCTGGGCATCGCAGGCATGGTAGCTCACGAGCCCATCGAAGAAGGGGAGCTGCTGCTCTCCATCCCCTCCTCGCTGCACCTGACGCCTTCCAGGCTGAGCAGAGCGATGCCCGAGCTGCACGCGGCAGTTTGCTCTCTGCCCGGGCTGTGCGATCGGCTGCGCGTGGAGGTCATGATAGGCCTGTTTTCCACCACCACCACCATAAGTTGGAGGGGGGAAAGAGGTGGAGGATGAGGAGGAGGAGGAAAAGGAGGAGGAGGAGGAGGAGGAGGAGGAGGAGGAGGAGGAGGAGGAGGAGGAGGAGGAGGAGGAGGAGGAGGAGGAGGAGAGGAGGAGGAGGAGGAGGAGGAGGAGGACCCCCTCCCCCTCCTACTTATGGTGGTGGTGGTGGTGGTGGTGGAAAACAGGCCCACCAGGTCACCCATGCCGCCTGCCTCGCTGCGATGCTGGGCGAGGCGATCTGTCGCGCCGAGGCGCTGGCCAGCGGAGGCGCCGAGGAGCCGCCGCCTGCCAGCGCAGCCGCGCGGGTGTGGGCCCGGTACTGCGACGCGCTGCTTGGGGAGGACTTCAGCGACCACCCCTACTGGCGCTGCCTCGACGACGCCGAGCAGGCGCGCGCCCTTCTGGCGCCGTCGCGGGAGTACGAGCACGCGGGGGCGATGGTCAGGGAGCTGGTCCGGGCCTACTGGGCCATTGCGCGCGGCGTGGCCGCGGAGCTGCTCGGGACGCGCTTCGACGCGGGACTTCTGATCCAGGCGAGGCTCTGCGTCCTCTCCCGCGTGTTCCGCACGTCGGAGAGGTACGCTGCCGTGCCGCTCGTCGACCTCTTCAACCACTCCGAGCAGCCCGGGGCGGCCTGGCTCTGGGACGCGGGGCGTGATGCCATGGTGGTGACGGCGTGCCGCGCGCACGCGCCCCAGGAGCAGATCTGCATCTCCTACGGGGCCCACTCCAACCCGCTGCTCTTCCGCACGTACGGCTTCACCCTGCCGCCCGGCGCGGAGCCGTCGTGGACCTTTGTCCTGCAGGGCACGAAGCCCCGGGCGCTGTACGAGAAGTACCTCCCGGCGAGGCACGCGGAACTGAACATCCACTTGGACTCCGCCCAGTTCCAGGACTCCCTCGTGGAGGCCCTGAACGCTTGCGCGGAGGTGGGCCAGGACCCGCGCGAGTTCCTCCTGGAGCTCTGCCGCCAGTGCCAGCGGCCCTACGAGGACGACCCGCTGCTGCGCCCCGCGCTGGCGGCGCTGGCGCGCCGCCGCGGCAGCGATCCGTCCTCCGGCGCGTGGTGGGAGGAGGCCGTGCCGGCCAGAGCAGCCCGCTGGGAGGAGCCGTGCAGGCGGGTGAAGATGAGCGAGTACTTGTGCCTCGTCGCGCACGCCGAGGCCGCGGAGGTGGCCCTCGGGCGGCCTCCCGCGGGTGGCGGCTGCCTCGCCGCCGCCGCGACGGTGCGCTCGCTGCTCGCGGATGCCTTCGAGGAGCTGAGGCAGCATGGGCGATTCGGCATCGACGTCCGCCCTGCCTGCTGAGCTTCACGGGCGCAGGGCGGTATAAAAGACACCTTTTCGCTGTCGGGGGCGCCTGTCCCAGGGCGGCTGGGAGGCTCATACCCTTCCGGTGGCGCGTCAAGGTATAAACTGTCCAGCCGCCCCAGAGCAGCGCCCCTGGCGACAGAAAAGTTTTATCTTATACCGCTCTTCGCCCGCCAAAGAGTGGCGTGTGCTGGTCCTGGCAGGGCACGACCGCGGACGAGAGCGAGCGCTGACAAAAGCGCGTCCAGCTGCGCCGCTGCGGATGTCCGCCGCCGCTCCGTGCGGGGTGGGGGGGGCGGAGGGGCCGGGATCCCGGGGAGGGCCGGGTCTCTGCTATCAGTTGCAGAAGGAACAACGCCACAAACATAAACTTTTGGCGCTCCGCGCGAATTTTTTTGGATCCGCGCTGGACCCCCCCCGGCGGCGCCTCTGGCGCCGCCCCCCGGCACGCTCTTCGCGCGCCAGGGAGGGGGGGTCCAGCCAAGACTCGAGAAATCCGCGCGGAGCGCCAACGGTTTATGTCCCTCGCGTTCCTGCTTCCTCTAGCCAGGCTCTCCGGCCTCAGGTATGCTTTTCGGAACGGCGGCTCCTCCCCCGGAGGAATCGGCACGTGCTGCCGGAGCCCGTTCGGCTCGGCGCGCTGGGGGGCCCGGAGGGGGCCGCCTCGCAGGGAGTGGAGTCCGTAACCGGTGATGGCCCGACGCACATCGACCGCGGCACAGCGCGGCGGAGGAACATTGGCATACGACACACGTCGCGGGTGCGTCGAAGTCCAACCATTCGTGCGAAAGAGCAGCAATATTTGCTGCCGTGCCTCTCTGGCGTGTCATGCTCGCATTTGCCGGCAGTCCTCCCAGACGTCCGCCGCCGCAGTTGCGGGACGGATTCGGCGATGGGTTCGTACGCTTTTTTCCAGGCTGGCTTCGCGGGCTCTGGCGGTTGGTCGGCTGGGAAGGTCCAGCTACCAGGAGTCGGGGAGCAGGAGGAGGAGGAGGCCTCCGCGACGACGTCGATGATGATGATGCTGCTGCTGATGCTGATGCTGATGCTGATGCTGATGCTGATGATGATGATGATGATGATGATGATGATGATGATGATGATGATGATGCTGATGCTGATGATGCTGATGCTGATGCTGATGCTGATGCTGATGCTGATGCTGATGATGCTGATGCTGATGATGCTGATGATGCTGCTGATGATGATAACTATGCTGATGATGACGATGATGACGACAAAGACGAGGATGCTGCTGCAGATGATTATGTTGCTGATCGTGGTGGTGGTGGTGGTTTTGGTGATGATGCTGCTGCTGCTGATGATGATGATGGTGACCATGCTGCTGATGATGATGATGTTGATGATGATGATGATGATGATGATGATGATGATGATGATGGTGGTGGTGGTGGAAGTGATGATGATGCTGCTGCCTGCTGATGATGATGACGATGATGATTACCCCAGTGCGACCCTACCTAGAAGTTGGAGCCCCTAGGAAAGCAGCATTAGTTGCTATGCTATGCTATGCTATGCTATGCCATGCTATGCTGCGCTATGCTATGCTATGCTATGCTATGCTATGCTATGCTGCGCTGTGCTATGCTATGCTATGCTATGCTAAGCTATGCTATGTCATGCTGCGCTGTGCTATGCTAAGCTATGCCATGCTATGCTAAGCTGTTCTATGCTATGCTATGCTATGCTATGCTATGCTATGCTATGCTGCGCTATGCTATGCTATGCTGCGCTATGCTATGATATGCTGGGCTATGCTATGATATGCTGTGCTGCGCCATGCTATGCTACGCTGTGCTATGCTATGTTGTGCTCTGCTATGCTAAAGCTCAGCGAAGCTAAGATGAAGGTAAGCTAAGCTAAGATAAGCCTGAGCTAAGATGAAGCTAAGCTAAGCTAAGATGAACTAAGCTAAGCTAAGATGAGATAAGCGACGCTAAGCTAAGGGGACGTAACTGGGGGAACCGCGGGGCGGATACTGGGGGAACCGCCCGGGGCGCTCTCCACTGCCGGGCCCCTTTAAGCCCAGAGAGTAAGAACCCTTCTAGGCAGAGCCTAGGTAGGGAATTATGATGGTGCTGATGATGATGACGATGATGATTATGATGATGATGATGCGGCTGATGAAGATGATTACGATGATGCTGATGCTGATTATGATGATGATGCTGCTGCTGCCTGCTGATTATGGGGAGAAGGAGGAGGCCGATGATGATGATTATGATGACGATGACGATGATTATGATTCTGATGATGATGAGGAGGAGGAGGAGGAGGACGATGATGATGATGGTGGTGGTGGTGGTGGGGTGGTGGTGGTTGGGTGGTGGTGGTGTTGATGATAATGATGATTATGATGACGATGATGCTGATGATGAGTATTGTGTTTATGATGATGATGATGCTGATGCTGATGCTGATGATGATGATGATGATGGTGGTGATGATGATGATGATGATGATGATGATGAGGGTGGTGGTGGTGATGATGATGATGATGATGGTGATGGTGCTGATGATGATGATGATGGTGGTGGTGGTGGTGATGATGATGATGATGATGATGATGATGATGATGATGATGATGAGGGTGGTGATGGTGATGATGATGATGATGATGGTGGTGATGATGATGATGATGATGATGATGATGATGATGATGATGATGATGATGATGATGATGATGATGATGATGATGAGATGATGATGATGAGATGCGAGGAGGAGGAGGAGGAGGAGGACGAGGAGGAGGAGGAGGACGAGGAGGAGGATGGAGGATTGAGGATCGAGGATGGAGGAGGATAGAGGAGGGGGTTCCCTTGGCGACGCCGAGGCGCTTCGGTCGCCAATGCCCTGTGCTGGCGCCGTTGCATCGGCAGCCGCAGGCGGTGCGGGGGGGGGGGGGGCCAGACGGGTGGCGGAGAGCCTGTCAGAGGGCGCCAGCTACAGACCTACGTCAGACGCGGCGGCGGCCCCGCCGCGGGCGTTCGAGGCTCAATGTCGATAGTGGCCCGCGGCTCAATCGTTGCTGAGCGATCCGCCGCTTCGCGGAGCGCCGATCGCTCAAGGTTGAGCGATCCACCTCTGCGCCAGGGACCAACGCCGAAGTCGTGACGGTCCGCCGCGCACCAGTCCTGGCCAGGCTGGTCATGGGTCCAGGATCGGTGTGTGTGTGTGTGTGTGTGTGCCTTCATGGCCTTGCTGGGAGGGCGTGCACACCCGCCCTGGGCCCGGTGTGGGCCTGGCGAGGATCGGCGCGAGCGCACAGTTTTAAATCGGGCCTGTCCCTCTGCAGGAGGATCATCCAAACATAGTCCAACAAACAGTCTCGGGACGATTTTCGACTGCTTTAAAGTATATTGGAGCCATTTTTTTGGGGGTATTTTTTTGACCTTTTGTCCAGAATCCGCCTGTAGGAGGACACGCCCGACCTAAGCACAGTCCCAGACATGCGACGTCCTGATTTTTTCATGACGGGGTCCCCGGAAGTCCCGACCCGTCCCCCGGGATCGGCTTTTCATAATGCGTCGTTTTTTGACGGTCCCGAGGCCTGGCGAGGGCCCCCCGAGGCCGAACATCGCCAAGAGCCTCCCTTCCGGATTTCTCTACGACGCGATCGTGTCTGGGGTTGGCGCTCTCCTGACCTGGAGGGCCACGGTGCTGGAGGGAGCCCGCTGCGCGCAAGAGTCCCCCTTTGCCAGAGTTCGGCGGCGAGCGAGGGGGGAAGCGAGAAGGAGAAGGCCCTCTCGGAGGGCGGCGGGACTTCTCAGAAGCCTTCGCGCCTCCTGGGAAGTCCTCTCTGTCTTCGGGGAAGGCTTGGGAAACTTCTCAGAGGGCTTCGGGACTTCTGAGCCTTCTGAAACGGCCTGCCCCTCCTCACCTCCCCGCCTCGCTCGCCGCCTAAGAGGGACCTCTGGCGCGCGACTTTGGGTGGATGGGGCGCGAGGGCCAACCCTCGGCGCGCGGGCTGCTGCTGCCGCATCGCATGCAACGAGGGCTGTCGCGCGCCCCGCTGCTGTCGCTGCGGTCGCATCGCAAGGCAGGAGGGACGCACGGCGGGGAGCTCTCTTGGTGGATGCGCGCAGGAGGAGGAGGAGGAGGAGGAGGAGGAGGAGGAGGAGGAGGAGGAGGAGGAGGAGGAGGAGGAGGAGGAGGAGGAGGAGGAGGAGGAGTAGGAGTAGGAGGAGGAGGAGTAGGAGGAGGAGGAGGAGGAGGAGGAGGAGGAGGAGGAGGA